TTTCAACAATATAGCCTGAACTCAATAAAATGACTTAAATTTAAAAATCTAAGAATTTGAGTTGTTCTTCTTGAGTTGTTGTAACTTATTCAGCTCAGTTTCATTTGTAGATTTAATATTTTTGATTTAAAGTATTTCTGGCTAATTCAATGATTGTTTTTCATGTTACAAGCAAAATTAACCTTTTTTTTTTTTTTTTTTGTTAATTAATAGACAATTTCAAAATAAAAAGTCAGAATCTCTTACTCCTTTTGTCTTCATAAAATATATTAATTATTATTATTAATTGTTATTAATTGATGCTGTTGTTTTTGCTTCTTTGTACTGTGAAATATAAATTGAGTATTTGGGGACTTGTGTTATAAATTTGCCTAAAGTATAAACCAGACATGTCAAACTCAGGCCCGGGAGCCAAATTTGGCCCGTGATATAACTATATTTGGGCCGCGAGACCATATCAAATATGTATTAGAGCTGCTCGCCGGCTACAGATCGACTATAGAGACATTATTTATTTAAAATGTTGTTATTATTTAATATTTTGCTTGTTCTGGATTCAATGTTTAAGCAAAACTATTATTAAACATTTATTTTAATAAGAAACATTAACATTACATATCTCGAAAGAAGAGAAAACATGCAGATGTTGTTGAAAATTTTTCAATAAATATTTTGTTTGACCCACGACTTAGTCCCTGTGAATTTGAGTTTGACACTCCTGATATGAACGCTGTGATACGCGCGTCAGATTAATTAATTTACATTTGTTTATGGGCCCAGTTCAAATAAATAATATATAAATAATAATAAAAATGTAAAAGAAACAAGATAGATATTCTGAATTCAAGCTAATTAACTTGTGTATTTTAGTTTTTTGCAGTGTATAAAATCAAACCCCCCCCCCCCCCTTTCCCATCACAGCCCCTAAACACACGATAATGTCTTTACAACCGTCCGACAGCTGCAGACAAGTGAATCAATTGCCCCTTGACCCTTGCACTTGGCCTGGTGAGTGGATCGTCTGTCACGGCCGCCGCTGGGCCCGAGCACTCGTCGTGTTTTGATATGGAGAGAGGCAGAAGAAGAAGAAGAAGAAGAAGAAGAAGAAGAAGAAGAAGAAGTGACACAATGTAATATGCACACACACTAATAGGCTGCGTCTCCAGTGACACACTTGATATTGTGTAATTATATTGAATGATGAGTGTAAGCGAGCGGGTCTAGAATTAGCACAGATGTTGTTAGTGAGAGACGTCGGCGATGAGAAATGGTTATACTACATTTGGCATAAGGCAGAGTGCTGAAATAGATGTTGTTTCGAAATGGTGACGGTGAGCGAGGTGGGGCTGTGCTAGTCAAATTTCAATTACGTTTTGAATTGTACAAAGTCGTTTCGAAGCGTCAACGATCACTCTTTTTAACGGAGATGTCAGTAAAAGCACGTTTTGGAGCAGAGAAACTTAAATATTTTGTGTCAATGTGTTAATTTTTTATCACAATATTGCCCAGCCCTGTTTGGAAATTAAACATTAGACTACTGTCATTTTTTGCAGTACTGTTTCTTGCAAATTAATCTTTCTATCATCAATATAAAAAAGTAAACATCTGGTACCACTTTATAATAACTCTACCAAAACAAATGTTATACCTCGACAAATATTCAGAACGATTCAGGCTCCGTAATACTTCACAATCTAAATATCATGATATTGTATCGTCAAAACTTTCGTGGACCGTCACAATAAATCGAACTACAAGGTTTTTCACTTAAAAGAATTAAAAGGAACTGCATAGGCCATGATCCTTTACTAATTTGCAGTTATTAAGCATGTTTAAATCTTATTTCTTTGGATCCACACTGAAGACTGGTCCAGGTGTTTAAAAAAGGAAAAATTTGGAAATGTACAATTCTGTTAACCTCTTCAAAATATCGCAATAAATATCGAACCGCGAGATGCACATCGTGATAATATCATACCGCGAGATGCACATCGTGATAATATCATACCGCGAGATGCATATCGTGATAATATCATACCGCGAGATGCACATCGTGATAACATCATACCGCGAGATGCACATCGTGATAATATCATACCGCGAGATGCACATCGTGATAATATCATACCGCGAGATGCATATCGTGATAATATCATACCGCGAGATGCATATCGTGATAATATCATACCGCGAGATGCACATCGTGATAACATCATACCGCGAGATGCATATCGTGATAATATCATACCGCGAGATGCACATCGTGATAATATCATACCGCGAGATGCATATCGTGATAATATCATACCGCGAGATGCATATCGTGATAATGTCCTTACCGCGAGATGCACATCGTGATAACATCATACCGCGAGATGCATATCGTGATAATGTCCTTACCGCGAGATGCACATCGTGATAATATCCTACCGCGAGATGCATATCGTGATAATATCATACCCGCGAGATGCATATCGTGATAATGTCCTACCGTGAGATGCACATCGTGATACTATCATACCGTGAGATTTGAATATTGACCACTTAAATGAAAACTAAGACTAACATTGCACCCATTATGCGGGCAAAATTCTAATAATGACCAACCAACTACTATATCCAGAACAGGGGCACCCACACTTTTTCAGCATCCAAGCTACTTATAAAATGACCAAGTTAATCTATGATCCACCTATTACAAAAAAAACTAAACAAAAAAAAACTGCGCTACACTTGAACACTCTGCGCCTCTTTTTTGGACCCTCACTCACAGTTTGAGAACCCCTTCTTAAAAAGAACTTCCACTGGCACTTTACAGAAAAGTGGGGAGGATTTTTAAACCTGTTTTTTTCAAGTTCCTGCATTCTCTTACTGGTTTTGAAGTGGGATTTAGTCTGCACATTTACCAAACGCAAACGCACATCGTGACAAATACAGATGCATTTGTGCACTTCTTTTATTCTGCAAACTTCAGCTTCACGTTGTTTTGTTTTTTTTCTTCTTCCTCTGTTTAACATCGCACTGCAGCCCGGTTGAGTTTACTAAAAATAGGCTAATGAAATTTAAGAGCTCTGTGAAAAAAATAAGGACTTGGACAACAGAATTTAAGACTTTTTAAGGCCTTAACTTAGGAACATGAATTTTAAGACCTTTTTAAGACTTTCAAGACCCCACGGCTGCCCTGGAAGTGCTGTATGTTTACAAGTTTTCTCCCTAACAAAACCCACAATGTCGACGAAATGTTCTGCACCGACAGAGTCTCCTGTGGTCGCACCCAAAAGGCCGAGGAAGATGCAAACCATCGCACAAAAAGTTGGACTTCTGGACACGCTGAAGGTCGCCATTACAGAAAAAACTTATCTTCGGTTCATTACGTAAAGAAGGAGGAAAATAACATAAAGACGACAGCAGCAATAAGTTTTAAAAAGGAAGCAAAAAGAGTTGTAACTGACCTGAGAAAAGTGTATAAAGTTTGTGGTGACGGGTTTTAAAGCCTTAAAACAGATATAATACTTTTTCGCGGATTTCACTTACTGCGGGTTATTTTTAGAACGTAATGTTGTTACCTCCTCAAAAACAGACCTGGAGTTGTGTTTTAGTCATGCAAGTTTGAGTAACGTTTGATTATTATTATTAGTCTGTTTACATCTCCAAACCTCAAAATGCTCTGTACCACCTTGTGATGTCATGAAGTGGCAGTTTACAAGTTAACAGCTACATTTTACATTTAGTTTTTGCCAATTACCCAAATGATTCTAGTGAAGGTGCATGGAGTTTAAAGGGCCCATATTAGGCTATTTCCTTAAAAACACAAAAAACAAGACTAAACCAGGATTATAAAAAGACTAAACCAGACAGATATAATAATTGTAAAATATAAAGCTGACTACTTCGCGGATTTTGCGGGTTATTTTTAGAACGCAACCCCCGCGGTAAACGAGGGACCACTTTACTTCATTATTTATAAAGCCACAGCTTAAATTGTGTGAATAAAATATCTAAAAAATTAGAAGATAAGTATTGTATTGGCAAATATTTTTAAAAATTTGTTCGGATCAGGAGCCAAAACAAGTCGATCAGGAGAAGCGTAGTTAGGGTTTTGTTATTGTTGTAGTTACGGAGCCTGAATCATTTTTAATAAACTTAATTAAATCTTTGTCTTTCTGTATTAAAAGTAGTTATTATAAAGTGTTTGCAAACAGTTTTATCTCTGCCATTATCCGCACGCTGCCCTTTGAGAATGTCATTGTGCATTGCTTACGTAACACAAGGATGTAAGTGGAGACACAGCCGCTTTTACATTTGAAGCGTTGCATGAGATATTGTTAAGGATATTGTTATAAAGATACTGTATCATCTTCAAACTATTTATACAATTCTAATACACAGATCTGTAGAGTTCGTTTCAGAAATCAGAATGACCTCTCCTCCTCTGGTAGCAGTCCAACCCAAAGGCGAGAGGAGGGAACACAGTGTCTTCAAGGCTCCGAATCGCACGAAATCCCCCAAAAAAACAAACCAAAAAACAGAAAAAAAAACCAACAAAAAAAAAAAATCCCAGTTTTTTGTATGTACAAGCAGAAAACGATCCAGGATTCCCCCTCCATTTGGTAAAGATCCGAAGGGGGGGAGAAAAGAAGGAGCCACCAAATCCGTCGCCCGGTAACCCTGGCTTCATCAAATCTGAGCCCCAAGTTGGTTTAAAGCATTAGAACGAAGGGTACGATTTCTTTTTTGTTTTGTTTTTCCAACGTTAAAATATTCCGGGATGAAGAAAGACGAGGAAAAGTGGAGGGAGGAAAGAGGAGAGCGGGTTCGGAGGGACCGTAGATGCTTAAGGAGGCGGGATACATTTTCGGAGATGGCCGTAGTGTTGGTGTGTTATTTCCACGCACACATGCTTGCACACACTCGCGCGTTCCAGGGTTCGGGGGAGAAGGTGGACGAGGCGGTGGACGAGACGGTGGACGAGGAAGGAGAAGGGGGGTCGGGTCCGTGGTTTAGCCCAGGATGTCCAGGTAAACCGGAGAAGCTTTGGCCAGGTTGAGAAGAAGGCCGTGGATTTCCTTAATGTTGAGTCTCATGTGCGGTTCTCTCTGCCAGCAGCCCAGCATCAGGTCGTACACTTCCTTGGGGCAGGTGCGGGGGCGCTGTAGCACACGGCCCTGCGTAATGCACTCGATCACCTGAAGGAAGAGAAGAAGAACAAGAGCGTCAGTTTTGACCATGGATTAGGGATGGGCATGATTAGTCGATTCATCGATAATTGATCATTAAGAATTTCATCGATTACGTAAATTTTAATCGACAAACCGAATGTAAGTTGCTGTGCGTAGCGTGACCAAACAGGGTCTGTACATGTGTCTCTCTGCATCAGAAGGAGCGAGACACAAACAGTCAGTCCGTCTGCAACGTACCGAAGTGCAAATGTGGATTTAACGACAACTTGTACAAGAAATTCCACACTTTCCTTTCTGGACGGGACAAGTGTGAGTCCATGTGCACAGTGTATAAAGCAGCACATATGTTTCTGTGTCCAGTGGGAAAAAGCTTTACCAGGTGAGAGTCGCTCAATGTCGATGACGAGTCCCCACCTCCCTCCCCCCGTACGGTGTCCTGGTTTTGACAAACGCAAATCTGGTCACACTAACCTGTATTCACCTGAGTCATGTCTTTTAATCCGACAGAAGTTGAACCACATCAGCGACACAAGAGCTGGAGTTTTATCTTCGCTGAGTTTATGTAAATTAGCGATGCGGTTTTAAGTTTTGTTTCTGTGTTGCGCAAATCTGCATTAAACACATTATAATGTCAAACGGGCTGATGTGGCTCTAGAGTCGTTACGGTTTATTTGTCGTAAAGTTGAATTTATTTATGCAGATTAGTAGTGCAGATAGTAATAATAATGATGATCATTTTAATATAAAAACGTTAATGATTAATCGATAATCGATCGTTAATTCTCTCGACGATCGATTAAGAAAATTTCATCAACTGCCCATCACTACCATGGATCTATTAAAATAACTGGATAGAGTATTGCTGATTGTAGCTGCCTCCTGTCGACGTTGTGACACTCACTGGAACTACAGCGGAAAAATCCCTGGGCTGAGAAGCGCGATGTAATCACAAACGTCTCATGTTCGGCTGTCGGAGAACAAACAACCTTCAAAAATGTCGGCTTTTGTGGCGATTTTTATCTGTTTTGAGATCATGAACTTTTTCTCAGCTCAAAATCCTTCTGTTGTCTTAAAAAAACGCTTTATAATCGTTCGCTCCAGCTCTGCTCTAACTCCTCTCGCTCTGATTGGTCAAAGCCGTCACGTGATTCGCGCTCGTGTGCATTGGCGTGTGGGAGAAAAGAGCACTACTGCACATGCTCAGTCGGCCCAGAGCCACTAGAAATACCTCGCCGGACTAAAAGCGAATCTGGAATCATGCACCATTGAGCTCGGTCCACTGACTTGAATGGGCGGCCAGTTTGAAACCCCGGGGCTTGGGGTTTACAGTTATTACGGTAAGTGTGGGGTGCAGCGTTTGTGGGTACAGTGTTTCAGGGGTGCGGTGTTTGCGGGCGCGGCGTCTGAACTCAGCAAGATTCACCGGTGACCAGACTCACATCATGGTAAAGTATTGGAGAAGTCTAAGCCTCTTTTTTTTTTTTTTTTTAACTCGACTGGGGAATGTGTTTCATATTAATCCTGTGACAATGAATGAACAAATCGGGACTAGTTGACCATAAAAAAATGACAGTAGCTCCAGATTGTCTCCTCTAACATCTCTGTGGACGATGTCGCTCTCACTTAGTCCACTCCTGCACTCCTGCTCCTCTCGCTCTGATTGGTCAAAGTGATCATTGGCATGTGCCCACCAGAGAAAAAACACAACTGCACATGCTCAATTGGCCCGGAGCCACTGGAAGTGCCTCGCCGGGCTAAAGGCGAATCTGGGATCATGCGCCATTGAGCTCGGCGCACTGACTTGAATGGGCGCCCATTTTGAAACCCCAGGGCTTGTTTTTTACCGTGTCTAAGAGTTGTACAATGAGTTTAATTTTGAAGTTCCATTGTGTAACTTTTCTGGTGGAGGGTCCGTCCGAAACAAATGCTGTGTTCCATGGAACATGTTATTGCTTTGTCTGGAATGTTTACATGATGTTTTTTAATTCCGAATTAATTATTCCAAATTAAATAGTTTGGAATTAAAATATTCTCCTTCAAGTTTACATAGAAATAATTCCGATTTGAAGTTTACATGGAAAACGTTTACAACGTCTGGAGGTTGGGAAGTGTTCTGATTGGACAGAGAAACGAATGTATTTATGTCAACCCGAAGAAAACACACACTTCAGCTGCTACCGGCTATTTTGTCATCTTGGTTTGTCGTTACGGCACAGACACAAACATGATCCAAACTTTTTTCGCAGTTGTTTCCATGATAATGAAGCAGCAGCTGGAGAATTCTGTCATCACGCTTTACGTCTGTCGGCTGAGGAGGAGAAGGGAAGAGTGTCGGAAAAGGAGGAAGAAGACAAACTGCGGGATGCGGGAGTGGGCTGCTCTAAGTATCCCGAAGTCCGAAGCATACTTATTTTTTTTAAAAAAATTACACATCTTGCAGTGTGTCATTACGTCAGACGGGCGACCCAACGAGCATGTGCTGAACAACCGGAATTATTTTTAATAAGAACAAACGTTTACATGATCGAGGGATAAATCAATTTGGCTTTAAAATTGGAATAAACCACCTACTTACTTTGGAATTAAGTTTAATTCTGAATAATCATTAGGAATTAAGTGTTTAATTTTTAAAGCATTTAAAGCATATGTTCCATCAACCCCCAATCTTTTAAAAACACATTTGTTTATGGCCCTTTTTTGTTGTTGTTGTTTCACATTTGTTTTATGCCTTTGTTTTCTTCTTTCTTGCACATTTGCTGGTTTCCATGGAGATTTCATTGTTTGGAGCCAGAGAACGTTTAAGTTAGGCCAGTGTAAGGTCAGATGCGTGGAGAGGCACCCCCACGCACAGTAAGATTTTATGTTTTTCAAGCATAATAAGGAGAATATATAAACACTGGTTAAGGCTGTGCAATTAACTGAATTTTGAGCAGGATTTCAATTTGTGTGTCAAAAGATCTGCAAACTCATATAATCGAATTGAAATGATTAAACTTAAAGTAGAACAGCTGGATATAGAGTTTATTTTAGATGTATTTATGTTTTTCTTTGCCTTATTTCATGTTCAAAGTATAATTTATTCATGTTCACATCACAAAACTGCTTTAAGGTTCATATTTGTAGCTTATACAGTCGTGGACAAAAATTGTTGGCACCCTTCTGGTAACGAAAGACGCGAAACAGACGCAAAACTGAAGCAGACCAAGAAAAGAACACTGTCCCTACTGTGAAGCACGGAGGAGGTTTGGTTTTGTTCTGGGGATGTTTTGCTGCATCTGGCTCAGGGTGTCTTGAATCTGTGCAAGGTACAACGAAATCTCAAAACTATCAAGGTTTTTTGGACCGAAATGTGTCGCCTAGTGTCAGAAAGCTTGGTCTCGTTGTAGGTCATGGGTCTTCAAACAGGATAATGACCCAAAACACACAGCTAAAACACACAAGAATGACTAAGAACAGAACATTGGACTGGAGTGTTCTTCTGTGAGTCCAAGATCTCAATTCTACTGAACATCTGTGAAAGAAGCTGAAACGTACGTCTGGAGAAGGAACCTTCAAACCCGAGACAACAAGACCAGTTTGCTCACGTGGAGTGGGTCAAAATACCTGTTAACAAGAGCAGAAGTCTCACTGACAGTTATAGAAATCTTCCAATGAGATTCATTTGATCTTCTGATATTTTATGTTATTATTGTTTTCATACCAGATAGTTTCGACTGCTCACTAGCGGAGCATAAATGTAACGTCATATACAAAATACCCGCATGTCCTGCAACAAAACATACATCAGGGAAACAGGGAGGGAGTTCAGGGCATGAGAAAAGGAACATAGGACAGAATGCGAGAAGGCAACAGTGAAGGTGAAACATGAGAAACAAAACAAAGCAGAACAGGAACAACTCAAATCTGTTCAGCCGTTTCTGACACTGCAAAAGAGAGAAGCACATTATGGACTGGGACGGAGCAAACATCATTGGGACAGAGAAAACAAACATCGTCGCTGGATTAAAGAGGCAATCGAAATACGGAAACGTGCCCACGGGACGATAAACCGGGACGAGAGGGATTGTTTACTCTCACACACCTGGGATACTGTCCTGAGGAAGTGGGACTGCAGGTGGCGCTGTCGTCCTGCCTCCACCGGTAGGAAGACAGCGCCAAAACCTGTTTAAATCAGCTGACCAGACACGTCACAGCAACATCACGTGACTCTGAAGAAGAGCGGTAGTGAGCAGTCGAAACTGTCAGGTATGAAAACAAACTCTTGGTCTGTAAAAAGAACCTAATAACATAGTGACAGAAGTCGTTTGTGTGCAGAGTTGTGCAACAAAAATGTGCAAATGTCCAAGCCAGTTTCATTATTTTGTTTTTTCTAATAATTCTGTTTAATCACAGGTGAAAAGCAGTGTTTGATTTTTGTTGGACTATTTTCAGTAAATTTTTATTTATTATTGCTTTTCTTAGTTTCAAGTTATTTCAGTGATTATTGTTGATTTTTTTTCATTGCCAGAGGGGCACCAGCAATTTTATCCACGTCTTAATTTATTTTCAGTTTGAACATTTGGTGTAAATTATCAGTAACAAAGTGTGTGTGTTTTAGTTTTTTTTCAGAGAGAGAGAAATGCTGAACAAATGCATCATGTAACTATAAAATAATTGTTCAAATAATTCAGTATTGACCAAAATAATCGTGATTAGGGCTGAGTATCGTTAAGAAGTTGCCGATACGATACATATCTCGATACAGAGCACTTTCGATTCAATACGATATATGTCATATCGATTCGATACGGTTCACTAAAAATAAAGGCTAAATCATGTCTGTGACAGTAAAAGTCTTTGTTAAACCACTTCTTGCGTAAAGTTCATATGAAACACAAACAATTTAAATGTCAAATGTGTCGCATAAATGAGTTTCCTTCCTCTAAACAGGCAACAAAACTGTAGCTGTAACAAAATAATTTAGTAAAACATACCAAAAAATACTCTTGGCGATATATCGATACAGCAGCCCATGATATCGATACTGTATCATCACATTAAACGATACGATATCTCAATATTTTTGCACAACCCTAATCGTGAGAATGATTTTTTTCACTGGTAATAGAGCCAATAACGCACTGTTTAAAATGCCATACTGCGGGACATTCCAGGTGACGCAACGACGTCTTGAATACAAACACGAAAAGCTACGCAGTGCAGCTTTTACATGGACTTGAGTGTGGAGTAAAGCCTCTTCTGGGACATTTACATGAGTCTGGCCGTATAACGTAATGACTGTGTTTAATTTTTCCTGTAGGATTAAGCGGCTGGTGTGCGGCGGAGTTATGAATGTGATTGAGTAACTCCGGAGCAGCTGTGTGAGCTAAAACGCTGGTTCGCCGCTTTGACGTAGAAACGCGTGTTCAGCAAATCCACGTGAAGCATTAAAGTACATTTGTTCTACCATTAAAAAGAGCTGAGGTCGCCCGAGCTTTGATTCACCACGAGTATTTTACAAGGCCGCTTAATCACATCATTTGTATGTTTTGAGTTAATTACAGCGGGGTGACGGCGGTTCTGGCGGTACATCGTAAAACGGCAGAGATTGTACGGTCAGTTGCAGCTCTGATCTACGCTCGCTTTGTGTCCGAGGGCCAAGACACGTCACACACCTTGCCTTAGTGTGACTGTGAGTGTGGAAATTTCAAGTCATTATTATGCTGCGTTCGTTTATCCATTCGTCTTCCGCTCGGATCTCGGATGTGACGTCATGTCCGCGCTTCAAACGTTTTATTGTGTTTCGTTTGTCCGGCTTGGAGAAAAATGTGGACACTAACCGGAAAGCTGTTGTTGTTTTAGCACTGACCGATTCATCAGCCGGTTTCACTTTGTAGAAACCGTCTGACCTCGCAGCATTAGAATTCGTTCGCTCAACAGTAGGTGGGTAAATTTTTTTATTTAATCAATCGCTGTTATTTGGTCGTGAAGTATGTAATGCACCAAATCCCGTAGGAAGAAGGTCAATAAATTATTTTCCCTTGACGAAATCAGCTTTTCTGTTTCTTTTGTTAAGTTGTTTTAGATGAAAATTGAGATTTTGATCTAGTGCCGGATCAGATCTGCTGGCGGCACAAAATCGTTCCGTCTCTGGAGCTGTTTTCCATCAGATTAGTATGAACGAACACTGCATCCACAACGAAAACGACTCGAATACGAACTAGTGTGGATGGGACCTATGACACTCATGATCATTTTGTTATAATTTGGACATTTTAAATCTCAAATTTCATCTAAAATGACTTAACAAAAGAAACAGATCAGCTGATTTCCATGTTCGAGAACTGTGGTCCTCAAAGGGAGCTGACGTCGCCGTAAACATCATCACAACAAACAGACGAACCCGAATCCTATGTGTCCAATTAAGAAAATAAAACTGGAGTAGTACAGAGCAGCGGGCGTGTACGGGTTAAATCCACCATTTTCAAATCTTGAACCGAAGCCGGACAGAATTTGAAGCAGTTTTCTGAATCTAAACCATCTCTGGTCCATGTCGTCCACCTCCCACAGCGTCTCTGGTCCCTCTCTGTTCTGACTCGGCTCCAGGATCACACCGGGACCGTTTGGGAGTCTGCGCTGAAACGGGAGTCCACTCTGAGCCTCTTCTGCTAATGGCCATCTGGACACGTATGGTCTGTGTCTTTCACCGGTTTCTATGGTTACTGTATCTCAAGAACCATCAGGATTGTCTCAAAGCTCTGTCCAATTTGTTGATTGTGAGCATAAGAAACATACATTTGCATTATTTTCAATATAAATCGTGCAAACAGGACACTGGATCTGGGTTGGCTGGTAAATTCAGAATGAGATCTCTGTGTTTTGTTTTTTATACAGAGAGATTTCAGTCTGGTCCTCGCTCCCTCCATCGTGTCTTGAACCACAACCAAATGTGTTTGTCCAATCAGATATTTGCCCCACAAAGGCAAAAGACCTGAACTCGCCAGAGTGTGAAACTGAGAAAAACGACTTCCAAGTTTCTGTTTTGTCCAGACAAAAGTATAATAGGCAGGGCTCCCAAAATTTAACAACTAGTCGCTATAATGAAGAAATATTTGTATGCGAAAAATATTGAGCTCAAAATTGACCTTTGACACTTATTGGTCAGTTCCTGTTCTCTGCCTTTGGATCATGAGCCAAAAATAAGGAGTCGTGCAAAAGCAAAAGGCAGAAACACACATGGTCACGACTATTATAATGATAAAATCACCAAATTGCCCAAACTTTGGCCGAATTCACTCAAATTTTCATTGTGGATGGACCCTGAGCCTGAGCAGACTGATTTAAGAAAATACAAAAATGGGTGCAGTTGGAAAAATTGCATTTTATTATACAAAATTTGTTATGCAAATTTGTGACATGGTCTCAATAAAAAAACTCATTGATGCCCACACCCTGTTTACATTGTGTTACCATGGCGACAAGCCAAAAATCTGTTCCTCCCAATGGGACGTCCACAAAGTTTGGCGTAAACCAAGTTTGGTAGTCAGATGCATCTTGGCAATACGAACAAAAAAGTATATTGTGACCACTCCACTTTACAAACAGGAAGTCTGCCATGTTGGATTTTTTTTTTTTTAATAAACACGCATCAAAATATAGAAAAATGGAAGGGTTTGGTTAGGAGTTAGGGTTAGGGTTGTGATTAGGGTTAGGTTTAAGTTTAGGTTACATTTAGGGTTGGGCCTAGTGTTAAGGTTTGGGACTATGGGTTAGAGTCGTGGTTGGGGTTTACCCCTGGAGGGTGCTGCTGCTTGTAGCTGCGTCCAGGTGACGTAGTGACACTCACTGGTACTTCAGCAGAAAAAATCCCCTGAGCTGAGACAGGATGTTTCTCATAGAGCACAATGTAATCACAAACTGCTCATGTTCGGCTGACAGGGACCTACAACTTTGGCTGAAAATCCTTCAGTTGTCTTAAAAAACACGTTATAATCATTCACTCCGGCTGCGCTCTGTTCCTCTCGCTCTGATTGGTCAAAGCGATCAGGTGATACATGAGCCCTCCCTCCGTGCGTGTGCTCGTGTGCACTGGCGTGTGCCCGCGCGAGAAAAGACACTACTGCACATGCTCAATTGGTCCAGGCCAGAGCCACCGGAAGTGCCTCGCCGGGCTAAAGGCGAATCTGGAGTCATGCGCCATTGAGTTTGGTCCATTGACTTGAATGGGCGGCCAATATGAAACCCCGGGGCTTGGGGCGTTTGCATGTGCACCGTTTGCGGGTGCGGAGTTTGAGGGATGCGCCATTTGAGGGATGCGGCGTTTGCGGGTGTGGCGTTTGCAGCTTGTGCGTGGCGTTTGGGGGCGTGGCGTTTGCGGGGTGTGCGTTTGCAGCTGTGGCGTGGCGTTTGGGGGTGTGGCGTTTGCAGCCGTGGCGTGGCGTTTGGGGGCGTGGCGTTTGCGGGTGTGGCGTTTGCAGCTGTGGCGTGGCGTTTGGGGGCGTGGCGTTTGCGGGCGTGGCGTTTGCAGCCGTGGCGTGGCGTTTGCGGGCGTGGCGTTTGCGGGTGTGGCGTTTGCAGCCGTGGCGTGGCGTTTGGGGGCGCGGCGTCTGAACTCAGCGAGATTGACCGGTGACCAGACTCACATCATCGTAAAGTACTGGAGAAGTCTGAGTCCTTTTTTTTTTCTAACTCCACTGTAATGCAACAATGAATGAAGAAATCAGGACTAATCGACCATAAAACATAATCGTAGCTCCAGATTCTCTCCTCTAACGTCTCTGCGGGTGACGTCCACTCCTGCACCGTCTCTGGTCTGACCACACTGACCCTCCGCAGACTGTGAACTACATTAAACACACTCTGCTGCATCGTACATTAGAGCGGGAGGCCAGAGCCAGACACAAAGGATCAGACTTATACTTATGCACAAATATCCTCGCCTCACATGCCCTCTGGTTGCCATGGAGACGCTGGTGAATCACAGGTCACATGTTCACAAGTTTCATAACCACATGGTCTGATGGGATATTATTATTATTATTATTATTACCGGGGACGGTCTAATTACTGATTCAGATTCAGGAATTTAATCAGTTTGAACTTTTAAAATGTAAATATTATTGTTTCAGATCGTTGTTTCTCCATCTGTTTTGTGACTGTGATTATGATTTCTGTCTTTGAGCGGTTTTCATCATTGATTTAAATCAGCAAAAAACAGATCTAAACCAGAACTAAACCAGGACTAAACTAGGAATAAATTAAGTCTAAAGCAGGTCTAAACCAGGTCTAAACCTAGACTAAACCAGGTCTAAAGCAGGTCTAAAGCAGGTCTAACCCAGGACTAAATCAGGTCTAAACCAGGATTAAAGTAGATCTAAACCAGGACTAACCCAGGTCTAAATCAGGTCTAGACCAGGACAAAATCAGGTTTAACCCAGGACTAAAGGTCTAACCAGGTTCAGGACTAAACCAGATCTACAGCAGGTCTAAAACAGCAGGACTAAACCAGGACTAACCCAGGACTAAACCAGGTCTAAACCAGGATTAAACCAGGTCTAAACTACATCTAAACTGGGTCTAAACCAGAAATAATTCAGGTCTAAACCAGGACTAAATCAGGTCTAAACCGGGTCCACAGCTGGTCTAAAACAGGTCTAACCCAGAACTAAATCATGTCCAACCCAGGACTAAACCAGGACTAAACCAGGACTAAACCAGGTCTAAATCAGGTCTAACCCAGGACTAAACCAGGTCTAATCAGTTCTTGCCCATGACTAAACTAGGAGCAAATCAGGTCTAAAGCAGGTTTAAATCAGGTCTAAACCAGGACTAACCCTGGTCTAACCCAGGTCTGGAGCAGGTCTCACCTCGTTGTTGGACAGCTGGTACCAGGGCTGTTTCCCGTAGGTGAAGATTTCCCAGAGGACGACGCCTAAACTCCACACGTCGCTCTCTGTGGTGAACTTCCTGTACATGATGCTCTCAGGAGGCATCCAGCGAATCGGCAGCATGGTGTGCCCGCCCACCTGCTCCACGGGCACAGGGCACACGGCACAGGGAAGAGGGAAGAGAGAAGAGAGGGCACAAGGGAGAGAGAGAAGAGAGGGCACAGGAGAGAGGAGAGAGGAGAGAAGAGAGGGCACAGGAGAGAGGAGAGAGGGCACAGAGGGAGAGAGGAGAGGGCACAGGAGAGAGAGAGAGGAGAGAGAGAGGGCACAGGAGAGAAGAGAGGGCACAGGAGAGAGAAGAGAGGGCACAGGAGAGAGGAGAGGGCAGGAGAGAGGAGAGAGGGCACAGGAGAGAGAGGAGAGGGCACAGAGGAGAGAGAGAAGAGGGCACAGAGGGAGAGAGGAGAGGGCACAGGGGAGAGAGGAGAGAGAGAGGGCACAGGAGAGAGAAGAGAGGGCACAGAGAGAGAGAGAGGAGAGAGAGAGAGGGCACAGGAGAGAGAGGAGAGGGCACAGGAGAGAGGAGAGGGCACAGGAGAGAGAGGAGAGGGCACAGGAGAGAGGAGAGAGGGCACAGGAGAGAGGAGAGGAAGAGAGGGCAGAGAGAGAGAGAGCACAGAGGAGAGAGGAGAGAGGGAGAGAGAGGGCACAGGAGAGGCACAGAGAGAGGGCACAGGGGAGAGAGAGAGGGCACAGGAGAGAGAAGAGGGCACAGGAGAGAGAGAGAGAGGGCACAGGAGAGAGAGAGAGAGAGAGAGAGAGAGGGCACAGAGAGGAGAGAGAGAGGGCACAGGAGGAGAGAGAGAGAGAGAGAGAGGGCACAGGAGAGAGAGAGAGAGGGCACAGAGAGGAGAGAGAGGAGAGGGAGAGGAGAGAGGAGAGAGAGGAGAGAGGAGAGGGCAGAAGAGGGAGAGAGAGAGAGGGCACAGAGAGAGGGAGAGAGGAGAGGGCACAGAGAGGAGAGAGGAGAGGGCACAGAGAGAGAGAAGAGAGGGCACAGAGAGAGAGAGGAGAGGGCAGAGGGCAGAGGAGAGGAGGAGAGAGGGAGGAGAGGAGGAGAGGGCACAAGAGAGAGAGGAGAGAGGCAGAGGAGAGAGGAGGAGAGGGCACAGAGGAGAGAGGAGAGGGCACAGAGAGAGGAGAGAGAGAGAGGGCACAGAGGAGAGAGAGAGGAGGGCACAGGAGGAGAGAGAGAGGGCAGAGGGAGGAGAGAGAGAGAGGGCACAGGAGAGAGAGGAGAGAGAGGAGAGAGAGAGAGGGGAAGAGAGAGAGAGAGAGGGGAGGAGAGAGGCACACAGAGAGAGGAAAGGGGAGAGAAGAAAGAGGCACAGAGAGAGAAGAGAGCACAGGAAGAGAAGAGGGCACAGGAGAGAAGAAGGAAGGAGAGAGGGACAGAGAGGAGAGACAGGAGAGGCACAGGAGAGAGAGAGAGGGCACAGAGAGATGCACAGGGAGAAGGAGAGGCACAGAGGAGAGAAGAGGGCACAGAGGAGAGAGAGAGGGCACAGGAGAGAGGGCAAAGAGAGACACAGAAGAGGAGGAGAGGAGAGGGCACAGGAGAGAGGAGAGAGAGGGCAAAGGAGAGAGGAGAGGCACAGGAGAGAGACAGAAGGAGGCACAGGAGAGAGGAGAGGCACAGGAGACAGAGGAGAGAGGAGGAGAGGAGAGGGAGAGAAGGAGAGGAGGGAGAGGAGAGGAGGGAGGAGAGAGAGCAAGAGAGAGGGCAGAGGGAGAGAAGAGAGAAGCAAAAAGGAGAGGCACAGGAGAGAAGACAGAAGGAGAGAAGAGAGGAGAGGCACAGGAGAGAGAGAGGGACAGGAGAGGAGAGGGAGAGAGGAGAGAGAGGAGAACAGGGCACAGAGGAGAGAGAAGAGAGGGCACAGGAGAGAGGAGAGAGAGGGAGAGAGGGCACGGAGAGAGGAGAGGGACGAGAGAGAGAAGAGAGGCACAGAGAGAGAGGGACAGGGACAAGGGCACAGGGAAGAGAGAGGAGAGACAAAACAGTATTAGTGTGAGCAGTGACATTAACATAGCATTAATAAAGCATGAACAAAGCTCTAACTCACAGTGAACAAACGTTTATTAAGATTAGGATAAGATAATGACTGTTTCTCCCCACTCCTTTTCGGAATTATTGATTTATTTGGTAACACTTTATAATAACTACACCTTACTTAGCCTTAACAAAGCATGAACAAAGACTTAATTAATCATGAACAAAGATTTAATTAATAATGATTCACGCTTAGTAAATGTTTTATAAAGCATAATTCGTCTTCACTTTAGAAAAGCTCTCAAAAAGACTTAACAGATAACAGCTGCCTGAATGATCATTGTATTGCATTATTAGTAAATCATTGTCTCATAGCTTATTAATGATTAATAAATGCTTAAATGGTTAGTTCATGAGTAATTAAGTATGAAATAATTATGAGTAACTATTTAGAGCACAGGCAAATTAAGTGCAAGTGCGAATTTAGTTAATAATTAAGCGTGAATCGTTATTAATTAAGTCTTTGTTCATTATTAATTAAGTCTTTGTTCATGCTTTATTAAGGCTAAATAAGGTGTAGTTATTATAAAGTGTTACCTTTTTTTTTTTTTTTTCTTTTCTTTTGGAGATTATAGTTATGATGAGCAATGTAAAATAATTTCCTTACGTATCTGTTGATTACTGAATGACGATGCAATTTATCATTTATGGAAACATCCGAATGAACTTATTATTATTATTCTGACTCACTAACTGCTTAAAGCTACAGTGTGTAACTTTCTGGAGTTGGTACGTCACTTGTATGATTCCATGGAAACAGATACTGTAGGTTTTATATCATACTGTGGAACATTATAGCAAAAGGAACAACATTTCCATGGAAACGAGCAGAAGAAGGCCAAATAAGAGTCAGGTTTGTGGAGATGCAAGCCCGCTCATGACAAGAACTCAGGTTTTTGTACATTTTTAGTGCTATAAACATAACCAAAATGGACCAAAAAAAACCCCGAAAACTTTTATTTGAGTCTATTTTTTGCCCAGAAAGTTACACACTGTGGCTTTAATTAAAGGGTAGATATTAATGAAGCCTGAATCTTTCTTTCGTCATCGCTCTCATCTGTTAGTTCTTTATTAAACATGTATTTGTTCATGCTTTATTAAAACTAATTAAAGTGTATTCTCTTCCACTGATGTGAACAGGTCTGAGATTAAATACACAAAATTAAAAACATTTACAGAACCAAGTAAAGTCCTTTTAAAGTTTTGTAAAGTTCTGTGATCTAAACCATGCAGAGAACATGCACATGTCAGATAAAAAACACAGGGAGAACAACATTATTTACACACAGCCTCTGTACGTTTGATGATTCTCCAAATTTTTGGCCAAATGTGAGCAAAGAAAAATAACTGACAGAAGTGGGACTGAGTCGTTCTTTTGCAAGTCTCAAGTAAGTCTCAAGTCTTTGACCTCAAGTCCGAGTCAAGTCCCAAGTCAAATACAGGCAAGTCCAAGTCGAGTTTCGAGTCACTGGCCCGTAAGTCCAAGTCAAGTCCAAATCAAGTCCAAGTCGTCTGCTTTGAGCTTCAAGTCATTTCAAGTCTTTAAACAAAAATACCAAATATAGTTTAGATTTTTGCAATTTACATGAATTTAATTAATTAATTTATTTATTTATTTCATAAAGCATAAAAAGACATCGACAGTGTCACAACATCAGACACACAAGAAATGAATGAAAAGAAACAGAAAGAAGAAAAAATCTTATGTTATCTGCCCCCCTTTCCTTTTTCAAGACAAAACATGAACACACTAAACTAAACATTCCAGATCAGTTCAGGCACAAATACTGATCATTAATTATTATTATTATTATTATTATTATTATTATTATTATTATTATTATTATTATTATTAAATTTTAACTAAATTGTACTTAAAACATCATGGTATATTTATATAGGAGTATTTATGAGTATTAAAGATGTTAATTTATCCTTTTTAAATGTTTTGACAAGATCTTAGCGTGAATCATTAAGGTCAGAACATAAAGAATTCAGATTTAAAAGTGCTTATTAACAGTTATTTTTGTCTGAAATGGAAGGATCATGTTCTCTGTAGTTCCCTCGGTTTTACTTTATTGTACTGTATATTACTGTAGTACTTTTGAGGATACCACATCACAGTACTCCAGTTACATCCAAAGTAACAAACAGAAGTGGGACGGACATGTTCCAGTTTGTTCCACCGCATTTATCAACTGTAAATAGAAAAATATTTTCTAAAAACACACTGTATATTTTTTAGCAGAAGCATCAAGTCACAGGCCTCAAAAACTTAGCTTTAAATCAACTTTACCTTAGATATTTGCTTATATTTTTTTATATTAGTACTAATCCCACTGTATTATTATAACATTTAAAGAAAAAACCATTACAAATCCTTTTATATGTAGTGTTAAATATTTTTAGAGGGGCCCCGCGTGACTGAAGCCGTTTCTTCATTTCAACTGGAAATCACACATGAATAAAATTAGAAATAAATTATCCAAAGTAATCGCAATTATACACAAATATAGAAATATCCTAGATAAAAAACAGTCTTTTTATTATTATACAACTCGCTGGTAAGGCCCAACAGAACGTATTGTATTGAGATTTGGGGAAATACATATAAGACTAAAACAAATCCAGTCTTTACCTCGCAAAAAAAGAGCAATCGCACTGTTAAACATTATCAACCAACCAATGCGTTATTTATAAACCTTCAAACTCTGAAATTTTATGGTTTAGTCGACCTTTACACTTTGAAAATCACGTTCAAAGTAAACAACAATCTCTTGTCAAAATCATTAGAGAATATGTTCAAAATCTGAAAGAGCCATCACGAACTCAGAGGTGCGGACATGTTTATCAAAAAGAAAATCAGACAAACGAACATTATGAAATTTTGTGTATCTGTTAAAGCCGTGGAGCTCCGGAACAACTGTACAGAAAAACTAAAATTGTGCACCGCTCTCTTCGAGTTTATAAAGAAGTTTAAATGTTTAACTCTGGGCAGATTCATGAATTAAGAGGCTTACTGTAT